GTTAAATTCTGCATGTTGCAATGATACAACTGTTTAGGAGACGTTGCTATCATTCAGGCTATCTGTCACATAATATGCGTTTTCCGAACTGTTAGAATAAACAGGGATTAAAACGCCAAAACGCTGAAGTGGATAGAGGTCATTTTAGTTTTAAAACGTTGTTTTAGAATGTAGGACTGTGGGAGGCAGAACTCGGGGGGACACACACACACACAGATACGTGGCGAACATGCAAACTACACAGAAAGACCCAAGCCAACATGAAGAAACTGTGGTATAATAATACTCAATCCTTTGACCAATAAGCTCTTTGTATTTGTATTTTATGTTAATAGATTTTATGTGTTTTATCTCAAGTTGCACAACCAGTTTCAGATGACTCATAAACAGCAGGTGACAAAATGAGAGGCTGATGTCATGGCGGCGCTCTCGCTTCATATTTAATGCAGCGGCATTCTTTGCATTCCGTCCACAACAATAGATTTTCTCGTGTCCGCTCGCTGACCAATAAACCGGAACTGTTTACACTTCCTTGTCAGAAGATCGCGGTTTATTCATGAGAACGGGCCAGAATGGTGAGAACAGGAACTATGGCTTTCTCCGCCGCAATCCAGTCGAATCCACCAACAACCGCAGAGGCAGTGCAGACGGGAGCGGTCTGAAGTAGACCTGCGAGGCCCTGTGGGTTTTTCTCTCTGAAGAGCAGAGACGAGGGGAAGCAAATGAGACATGAGACGAGATGCTTTCTTCATCGTCTATGACACCCACATACAAGCCTGTGTACACACAGACACACACACATGCAAACATCAAAGGTTTGGGATAAAGACTTGAGCCTGAACTAAAGTCTGATCAGTCAACCCTGCTGTGTTGCTGGAAAGCAAAAATGGCTTTGATGCTACATCTTAATATATGCAAGGTCCCAGCCTGTGGTTTAGTAAACGGGTCCAAATAGCCTTGGTATATGAGCCACACCGGAGCACTTGGTTTTGCCGTAAGCTCCAGTTGTTGCCTGGCATTGCTCTGGAGCGCAATAATACAATGCTTTTTCAGGGAAGCATGTTATAAATAAAGCCACAGAAAGCTTTTGTTGACAGCAGCTCTCCCTCAGCTCCTCTTTTGGAAACGTTTGTGGGCTACGGACATCACGCAACATGTGTTTGAATTTTTGGAAATTGAGATTTAAAATGTTTGTGCCTTTTGATTTCTGACTTTAATTCCTAAACCTATTATTATAACATACATACGGTGGTCGAGTCGGAATGAAAGGACCATTTACAGATACAGATCTAGTGTAATGACTATAATAAAAGCAGCCACCATCTGACATTAATATGAATGTGAAATGAAGTGTAGCCAGTGTGTGTTGTTTGTTTCAGCCGTGTTGAAAAGAACATGCGGGTCACGTGTCATTCACTATCCCTCACAGTGGAGAGAATTTTGTGTTATCAGCTGCACTCACCTGCTAAACCCACTATAAACTGCAATTGCCACCTTTTATGGCAGTATCATGATGGCTGGTGTGGAGCATGAGGTTATAAAAGGAGATAACCCCGGTAATATTCACCATTATGAGCCATTACTGGCAGGACGGGCGATGCCATAATGGGAGCAATCTTCAAATCCCCCGTCCAGTGTGAAAAAAACAAACACATTAGATGCAGATGAGCAATAATGCTGTTGAGTGCAAGTCATTGTTTTTTAGTCAATCCTGACGTTTGGAATCAATCTGAGATAACACTTTATCGAATCACAAAAGAATCAGCCACAGTGCAGTGTCATCATGTAACAGAGGACGTATAGACACAGAGCAGAGCTCCGTGCAGGCAGGCTCGCCAGCCCAATGCCATTGTGTCTCTGTGGACCCATTGGACACACAACAGGTGTGTCAATATGACAAGCATTCAACCGATCCACTACGCCTGGCTCACATAAACACTGAATAAATATAGATGCTCTCCGTTTTCACTCTCAGCACACAGCTCCTGTACAGATAAAACAAAAGAGACGCAAACACTCAGAGATCACTTAGAGTTCAGGGAAAAATCTGGATAATTATTTTCTCTTAAGAAACAAACAATTCCACATTAACTTCTTATGGTCAGGGCCACACTGGATGCATGAGCATCAGGGAGAGTCAGGGTTTCGCCTACTTTCTCAAAGCACCGTGTCCAGTTCACAGCAAAATAGTGAAAATGATCTTTCACCACAGTTTCATGGTCTATCGGTTGAATATCTGCCCCACTTCCTATACCCGTTTCAAAGTTAAAGCATTTCTGTTGAATTAATCCATTAATTTGTTATAACAGGCTTTTTATTGATATCATTGCAGGACCAGAAGATGCACGGCTTCATACCGTAGACTCCTGGCATTTACTTGAGTACATAGCCTTACTTTTATTCGAGAGAACACAGTATTCTTACCAGAAACCTCACATTGCAGCTCCACAGCAGACATGAACACGCAAGAAGCAGCAGATCATTGATGCAGCTGTCACACGCTGCAGAAGCACTGTAGCCTATTATATCTTCCCTATAAAGGAGAGGTTCCCAAACTTTTCAGCCCTAAAATAGCAATGTCAGAGACATCAACCTGCTGCATTTGATGCTCTCATTAATCTGTCATGATCACCTCAGGAGATGGAGAAAAACAGAGAGGTTGTGATTTTTTAGATTGTTTCATTTTGAATTCAACATTGGGTTTTTTTTAGCTTTAAGGACAATTATGGATCAAATACAATGTTGAGAATTGTATTTGATTTATGGAAATCATTTTTACGATTCTCCTTCTGTGTCTTGTGACCCTCAGAGAGGGTTCGGACCCCTAGTTTAGGAACAACTGATATAAGAAATACAAACCACAACAGGAGAAAGTGACAGTTTGCATGTATTTGTCATGTTTTGTTTTGGATTTTTGTTTTAGAGGAAAGAGATACAACTTCATTTTAACAGATCAACAATGAAAAATGATCAAAATGCAAACCCCAAATTAGTCTCAGACACAGAGAAGATGTCAAATGGATAGATTGATCTGATGATATTACAGAATAGGAGAGAGGGTTCTCCTGTCATTTTATGCTGTTTCTCAATATTATTAACATAAAAATGAAATGCACAACTCAACAATGTAAAGGCTTCTCACAGTTAATTTCATGTTTGGTCTTCAGTGACCTTGTTATCATGCATTACTGGCTAATTTCACGTGGAATATACACATTAAGTTATGTGATATTTCCAACAATATGGGAGACAACAGATCCTTCTGAATGTCATTACTGGATTATACTGTAGCTCCTTTTGTATCCCCTGCAGCTGATGCCAAACAGAATCGACATGAACAGGTTGGAGAAAATTGGCTCGTCCCTCCCCGAGAACAGACGACAGACAACGGTGCACGCGTCGGGGCTGCCAGTCTCCCACCAGATGGTAAATCAGAAAGACACGGGCGATCGAATAACAGATATGACCAATCAGATGATCGAAAACAACCCAAGTATAGACTATAGGGGGGGAAACACAGAGGAAATTTTATTTGCGTTTATTTGCCAAATATCCCCACGGTGCATCCTAACCAGATCTTATCGGTCATTTCATTTGTTTCTGTTGGATTTCTTTAAAATAATTTGAGGACTTCCCTTGAGGTTGTACTGTTGGTATTTATTATTCAGTGAGATTCAATTAATTCATTGGTAGAGAGGGATTTGTTTGATTGGTCATTAATTGTGGGGGGTTTTTAATGGCACAGATGGAAGTTATTTTTATTATCGTGACAAACTGAAAAAGGGCGAAATCGTCTGTTTATTATTATATTAGTCGCGCATATCACCACATTTCAGGCGATCAAATTAAATCCTTTATGTCTTTCTATGGGAACCTCACTGCGCACGAGCCTGCATTTCATTCCCATTAGCGGTTTAAAGGCCACGCGCCACAATCAGGGAAGAATAAACCAGTTTTACGCATGGCGCATGCAGGTGACGCGTGTGTGTGGCGTGTGTGTGTGTGTGTGTGTGTGTGTGTCTGAGATAGAGAGAGAGGGAGCTCATTTGCATACAGCTGAATAGTTTATGTCTCCCGTCCCGCACATCACACCCGCGTGAGGGCGAGAGAGAGAGAGAGAGAGAGAGAGAGAGAGAGAGAGAGAGAGAGGACACGCGCCGCAACAATAGGAGGCACACTGTCACTAAACCGTAAAACGCACGCGGGTGGGCATGGAGGGGCACACGCCACCAACAAGATGAGCCACACCCACGATAACATCTCAGTGAAATGTGGGTTTGGACACAAAATGTGGGTCTGTGCATCCGTGCGTAATGTAAAAAAATAGATGAGTTTTCCGCATGTTCTACAATCGACACATAAGCTCTGGTCATTTATGGGTTTAGTTTGCTTATAAAAACAAGAAAATTGCAGCCTATAAAAAAGTGAATATCAACACCAATTTCAACAAATACTGTAAGATGCATCCTTCATTTGCAACTCTGGTGCGGTTTAATGAGACACGGCACAAGGGAGAAACACTTGTGACCCCACTGAGAGTGAGGGTTTTGAGAGGAAACAGTGCGCACGGCTCCTGAGCTGCAGTGCGCGCTAATTAGGCGTGCAATTGAGTGGAACCGAGGGCAAAAAGGGGGTGCGCGGAGTGAGACAGTGATTGAATTCCTGCTTTCTGTTCCCCTCAAGTTTCGGCTCCCCTTCATTGTCCTGACCCACTGTCCATAATGTGCGAGTGTGCGTCCGGCGCATTGTGCGCTAAAAATAAGTCAACAGATGTTGGGGCTTGTTAATAATCGCCCAGTATCCATGGTGGTCAGTCAGCACCGTGCCAGTGGGTATTAAATCTGGATAATTGTTGTTGGGTTGGAAGGGAAGGGGGTTGACTGTGTGGAGTGGGCGGTGTCACGGCGCTGACTGACAGTTTATGTAATGAGCACATGCAGTGCAAGTCTATATATCTGGGAGGAGGCACACCACGGTTCATTCACTAGTAATAAGGCGAGTGATGAACGTCCGTGGCGCACTGACTCACCGACCTCAGCACCAAAACAAGCTCTGAGCCGCGCACACGCAGCGACAGTGACCATTGTGGAGTACAGCACCATGCAGGGAGAGCAGGGAGAGGACGCCTGCTGACACACAGACTGGATACTAGTCTTCCCTCACCTTTGGATAACTTGGAGCTTGGAGGCGCTTTCTTCTCTCGCACAGGAGCTACAAGGAGAACTCCCAGGGAGGGACTATAAGGATTTATCTTTATTTTAGATTTTGTGTCGCTCTCTCCCTCTCTACATTTGTTTACCTCGGTGTAAATACTTTGGAATAGTGAGGTTTTGCTGCTTTTATTGGCTGGTGACGCGGCTGCCCTGGAGAAGCGAGAAGGATGGCAGCTTGGTTCACCTTTACCATCGCGTTCAGCACCACGTTAATAACACAGGTATGAAGGAGGATAACGCATCTCCCCCCTGGTGGTCCTGCAGACCCTCTTCAGATCCAGTTTTTTTTATGTAACCATACCTGCGTTTCTTACATGCTCTTTCTTTCTCTTCTAGGTGTTCGGATCCGGCTTTTTTGAGCTCAACCTGCACGAATTTAAAAATCACAAAGGTTTGCTGGCAAACGGGAGCGCATGTAAGCCCAGCTGCAGGACTTATTTCAGAATTTGCTTGAAGAACTATCAGGCCGTGGTCTCGCCAGGTGACTGCATCTTTGGGAGTACAATGACACCAGTGCTGGGGACAAACTCTTTCAGCGCCAAGGACAGTGGCACTTTACCAAGACCCATTCAGATACCGTTCAACTTCGGCTGGCCGGTAAGAGTGTGGAGCAGTGCATCCACTTTAATTGTCATGCAAACCCCATGCAACCACTGTTGTGTTGTTTTCATGGAGCTGCTGTGCATTTTGGGAGCGCACCGGTTATTGGTCAGCTCATCTAATCCATATCATTAGGTAATACTCTGTGGACAAACAGATTGGACTGCTACTACGTCGTTCAATTCAAAACCCAGAGAGCCACTGTGGCACATTTCTCCATGAAGTCTTTAGTTTCATTTATATTTTAAACAACCAGAAGTCTTATAAATAAAACAGAAAAAGAGAAGATGTAAGCTTTTCCTGGTAAATTATGAACTTTCTATGAGAAAATTGTCCATATTAATTAGAAATTAATTATCTGCATGTGTTTTCTCCTTAGGGGTCATTTTCATTAATAATTGAAGCCTGGCATTCACCTTATGGAAATCTACCTGTAGGTAAGTGCAACATTTTTTTTACCACAGGAGGGAGCTCTGTCTGTACATTTCACACACGAGGCTCTCCAGCTGTGTTACATGCAGTTTTGTCCAGAAATATCTAAATCAAACATTTGATAATGAATTAAATGCAGCTTCAACAAAGTTCCTCTCCACCTCTTCATCAATTTCTCACATTTTCATACATTCTCCTGCCCATATGCACTTCTTTATTATGAACTTCAGAACACCTTTTTCATTCTTATACCCAATACAATTGAACTTCCTCTGGTTTATTTTTGGCGTGGGAACGAGCTGTGGGCTTTGGTGAGAATATGCAGTGCCTGCCAAAAACCCCTGACTGCATCTTCCTGTATTTTACACCTTACTCTGTTCCACCCTGTGGAAGAGGGGACCGGGCCTGGGAATGTTTTTGCTGACGGAAAAGAAAGAGGAAATTTCAACCTGAGTTTATCTTTCATCTTGGCTGTATGGGATTTGATAAGGGATGCAGCTTGGCACCGGGCAGATTATTAAAGCGAAAGTGGGTGACTTTTGAACCCAAGTCCCATTTATGATGCAGTTCTTGACATAAAACCTTATTTATCATGGGACATACACACATTGCATGCTTAGGTATCCCAAATCCATTCTGATTGCCCTTGTCACTTTTCTTCCTCTAGATACCAACAACCCAGACTTTCTGATTAGCTTCTTTGCCATCCAAAGACAGCTGGGTGTGGGGACTGACTGGTCCGAGCTCACGCTGACCGCAGAGCAGATGGAGCTGAGATATTCTTACCGGTTCATCTGCAACGAAAGTTACTACGGAGAAAGTTGCTCCATGAAATGCACGCCCAGGGACGACCGATTCGGCCACTACACCTGCACCCGAGATGGGCAGCTGTCCTGTCTGCCTGGCTGGAAGGGCATATACTGCGAAGAACGTAAGAAAACAAGAATCATGTTCTCCCTTTTAGCAGGGATGTGTGTTGACACTGAAGCTTTGTGGTTCGGTGTCGCTCTGTGCTTGTTTGTGTGTTTGCTGCAGGGTCACGCAGATGCTTGCCTATGAGTGATAAATACGGGAATCTGTTTTGGCCTATATCCAAACTCTCCTGACCTTAAAAGAGTTAAAGTGCAGGGTCCTGATGATCCTCTATGGTGTTTGACCTTTGACCTTCATTATGCTATGTTCCTAAAAAGAGAAAGGCAGTTAAGATATAAGACGTGTGACACACAGGTCGTCATCACCAAGGCCACAAGATGTCAAGCACTGTAAGGAGACATGGCGTAATGATATCTGGCAAATTTCATGGGTCATTTTGGTGAAGAAAGAATTTCTCAGGGATGTGTGCCACATATAATTTGTAATCATTTACGTCTCATGTGTAATTGCTTGTGGGTTTGGGAACACTCGTTGACTATGGGTTGAGGAACGAACGGCTTAGCATGACAACAGCTACTTTATATGTGCAAACCCACATGGCCTCACAGTCCCATGCTCTGGACAGGGCCTCCTCTAGAGGGGGGGCAGTGCCATTTGGCTCCACAATAACCATAACCCCCTTTTCTCACCAAAACAAATTAATCAAAGAGTAGATTGGAAGGAGGCCCCGGGAGAGTAATAGTTACCATGTGCCGGATACGTGACCACACGGGTGACAGCGGATCTGTCATCCGTCGTCGCTCGCTGGCGAGAGAGAAATTGGCATGTGCTATTTCGACCGTGGCGCCAAATTCTAACCAGATGGGCTCACGTGTTGCAATTACGAAAGCATCAATCGTCGGCGACTACAGAAAATATACACGAGAAAGATAGATTGGGCATCTTTCAGACGCTATAATTTCCCTCCTCTCACACTCCCATACATCAGTTTGAAACAAGCCTTGTCATTTAGGGACCAGTATACATTCTGGAGGGTTGAAGCACAGAGCAGCACAAACACACTCTTCATTTTAGACAAGTGGAGTGATCGTGCTAAACAAAAGCATGAGAATTCAACATTGGAAACAAAGGGAGAGAGAACACAGGTGAGATAGATAGATAGATGAATGGAAGGAGAAAAGGAGCTAGATTGATAGAAAGTGGATGGATGGAAAAAGTGATAGATAGATAGATGAGAGGATGGTTAGAAAGAGAGAGAGGGGGATGGATGGAGAGAGAGTACTACAAACAAATCAGTGTCTTAAACAAAAAAAAAAGGTTTCGGTGGCTTCAGGAACTATATTGCACCAGCGCGTGCCCGGTAACCTAATCCGGGTGAGTCGGAGGGGGTGGGTGCGCGGGCACTCGCCCCTGCAAGAGGAGCGCGGGGCCGCTGCACGCGCCAAGGTTAATCGCGGCATTATTATCCGCCACGCGCCGCCGATGTTTCTGTGCGTGGCCATTGTTGGCTGCAGCGCGGCGCGCGGCGGCAGCTGCAAATATGGACGAGCGGCGGAGCAGCGACAACAATGGTGACAGCTGTCTGCTATAGAGAGCGAGCATCTGTTCTGCTCTAAACCGGCCGCTCGCCGTCAGCAGCCTGATATGCTGCCTGGCCCTGCACAAATCAGTGTCATGATGGAGGAGCGGGCACACACGCACACACACATGCACCTCAGACTGGTGGTGTAGTGGTGATCTGACAGGGGGAGATCAAACTCACGACTCACCTCAACACGTGGCTGTTTCTAGGAAGTGATGCTCTGAGGCCTTGGTTCTAATGGGAGTGTGATGTGTTTTGAATAATAATTTTAATAAACTATGTATAGAGCACTTTTGTGCAGCCCAGCCATTTTTAAATACAAAGTTCTTCATAACAGCAAACAAATGGTTAACGTACATTAGGACAAGCATCAATGATTAATGGTAATAATTCGAAGGATAATGAGATGAATTGGTAATTAAAAGATCAGAGATAGCCAACAGTGACATTTTAACTATGCATTCAGCTTGAAATCACACACAATGTTTGAATAGTTTTAAACAACATTTTTAAAATGCACCAAAATCAA